GCTCTGTGCAGGTGCAGCTGCTTTCTCCTAGCCTGTTGGTGGGGGCAGCCTGCGTTTCTGGGTCGATTCCCTCCCCTGTGACATTGTTCCTCGGAGACCTGTCGCCCTGCACCGCCGGCTGGTCCCGTGGGCCCTCTCTTCGGGGGCGGCTTGCCAGTGGCTGTGGCCTTGCACATTGCGGGAAAGCGGTTCCTGATGAGGGGCCCTGTTTTTTCAAGCTTCACTCGTTGGTCACTGCTCTACCCCCTTTGAGCTCCTGGAATTCTTCCAGCTGTTACTGGGCTGTCTCTCCTCGTTGGTCAGAGGGGACCTCTGTGTCTCGGCCTTCATCCCTCTCCCCTGCTGATGCACCACTTCACAGGCTTCCCTTGCTTGTAGCCCTCAGGTCTCATACCTGCCCAGAAAAGTCCTGTTGGACCAAAAGGTTGTACCCATTTAACAGATGTGAAAGCTGAGACCCAGGGTGGTTCAGCAACGTGTCCTGAGCCTACTGCTGGTTTTCACAGGGCCTTGCAGGCCCGCTGCTCGATGGCGGTCGGAGTCCCAAGGTGTCTGGTGATAACCTTCCTGATGTCACATCCACGGCCTGTGCCTGGGGCCTGACAAGGCCTTGTGGTGGGATGCTTCTCCTTGCTGATGGCCCTGCCTCCTGGGCTCTGGGAGCTCCTTTCTCTTCCTCCTGCTTTGGGTCGTCTTTGTCAGGCTCCTTTGCCATCCCCTCTCCCTCCAGGCAGCTCACCCAGGGTAACTCTGTCAACTCCAGGACCAGGTGCCACTGTTGCTTCCTGAGGACCTGCTGTAGTAAGCAGGGCAGTGGCCAGTGACAGAAATTCAGTGTAAACCGGTCTCAGCAAAATCCCGCAGCTGGAAGGCCCGAGAAGACAGGTTCCAGGCCACCAGGAGGTCACAGCCCTGACCCAGAGATGCTGGCCTTTGCTCCCGGCATGACCTGGAGAGTCTGAGCACAGAGGCCGCAGTGGCTGCGCCCTGTGCTGCTGGCAGTCCCCAGGACCCATCCTGGGAAGGGTCAGGGATGGCCTGGCTCAGGGTGCACACCCATTCTACAACTATGTGAAGTGCCAGCCACATACCAACCCCTGGAGCGGGGCGTGGCAGCCTCTCAGTTGTTTGCCCTTCGGAGCCTTGCAGGACTGAGGGGGGCAGTTCTGAAAGGCAGGAAGGCAGGGCAGAGCAACCCCTTGGGCTGGGTTCCAGGCTTCTCCTCATTTGACAGATGAGGAAACTGAGGCACAAGGTACAGCTGGGTCTGGTTCCATGCTCTCCTTTGGGGATGTACCCCACCTCTTCCAGTCCTGGGGGTCTCACCACCTCTGGCACTACCATGTTTGCAAAGATGGCAGTGTGCCCAGGTTCTGTGAGATGCACTTTCCTGTCCTGTCCTCCTTTAGGGCTGCCCGGGGTCTGCCCCTGTGCCCACACTGTGAGCATCACAGATCTCTGGTTCTTTTGTGTCCTCTCCTCCTGTCCCAGGATCCAGCAGGGCTGCCCTGGAAGGAAACCTGCTCGCCTCCCCCTTTTCTGGGGGAAATTTGGCCCTGCCACCAGCAGCACCCGGCCGCTCCCCAGCCACACCTGGGTGCCTGACAAACTCCGGCGTGTTTTCCGGGTCCCGAGTCTTCAAACGGGCTTAGACTCCAATCGAATGTGCCCACGCGTGGCAGTCCGTGGCCGGAGCGGGCGTGGCTCAGCTGCTCTGGGAGTTTGGAAGCTCTCCCAGTGAGTCCCGAGCTCTCTCCTTCAGCCAGTGGGTTGACTCACGTCCTTACCAGGCACTGCTTCATGCCAGGCACTGGGAATGCCGGTAGCTGGTGTCACCTGCCGTTTAAAAGGCAGTTCAAACAAAGTCACTTCTCTAGTTTTTGAGATTATAGTAGAGGCACTTGGCACAAAATGCCAGAGATGCAGGGGCCACGCACAGTGAACAGGAAGTCCCATCCATCCCCGCGCCCCCCACCCCACCCCCCAGCCACACTTGCCCTCCGACAAGAGGCCACCCTGTCGACCATTTTCTTGTAGTGCTTTGGATTCGTTCTGTGTGCTGGTTGACGTGCTTAACCCAGATAATGTCTGCTGCAAGGGGTTTACAGCCTCAGGTCACGTAGCCTCTTCTTAGAGAGGTGAATGCCCTCTGTGTGCCGGGAGCACTTCCTCATTCTTTTCAGAGGGAAGGGAGGAGGGGGAGAGACTGAGAGAGGAGAGTCCCTGTGAGAGAGACGCTGATTGGTTGCCTCCCTCACACACCCCGACCAAGGTACATGCCCTTGACTGGGAATGGAACCCGGGACCCTTCCTTCTGCTGGCCAACGCTCTTGCCACCGAGCCAAACCGGCTAGGGCCCTCATTCTTTTTAACCACCGCCCCTGGGGGAGGGGAGAGGCCACTGCCCGCCCTTTGCTGTCATAGACAATGTGCATGGCCCTTGACAGCCATAGCCTGGAGCATGTGGCATGTTTGCATGTCTGTGGGTGGGATCCATGAGGGGCAGCTAATCACTTGATAGCCAGCTCTCTGGTTTCTCTTTCCTCCTCCCCGCTCCTGCCTCCCTCCCTCCTGTCCTCGCCCTTCGCCTTTGGTGTTAGGATTCGGCTTCTGGACTTGCTGGTCAGGGCTGGCTTCAGGCCTGCTGCCTGGGAGTGGAGGTTGTGAGCACCTCTGTCCTGCAGGAGTTCCCATGAGGAAGGAGCCCAGCAGGCTCCCGTGTTTTTCTGAGCGGCTGCCGCTGTGCACACCTTTCACCTGCCCCTCCTTGTCCCGGTTACACCCCTGCCCTCCCTCCTTGTCCCGGTTACACCGTGGCCCCGGAGGATGCAGACCGGGCTTGCCCAGCTCAGGCCTCTCTCAGCTTGCTCATCCGAGGAATGGGCCAGCATGCCCCTCCCTTGGTGCTGGGGTGGGGGGAGGGCATCTGTGCGGTGGGCACGGGGTGATCAGCTCCCACACCGGCTAGGAGTATGGTGCACGCGGTAGGGCCTGGACTGACGGGAACTCTGCCCTCTTCTCTGCCAGGGTCGCAGTGTCTCCTGTTGGAGCCCTGAGCTGCCCAGGAACTGTGCTCTCCTCCTGGGAGATCTTCGGCCTGTCAGTTGTCCGCATTACTTTGTTTCTTTTATGTTCGGCCTCCATCTGTTTTCAGAGTTAGAGACCTGTTTGTCGGTAGGGCTGGGGGAGGGAGCGCTGTCTGGGAAGATGTCACATGCGCAGTGGAAATGACTCGGCTTCCTCGGGAGAGTGACAGGCGCACGGATAATCTGGATGCCGCCAGGATTAACTCAGAGGGAAGACTGCGGGCCTGGCCGGCACCCAGGGCGGCCTGCACCTGGTGTGGGTCACGTCCACCTGCCCTCTGGCTCCTCAGCGTTCCTGGGGATTTCTCCCTCAAACGTTTAAGATTTCTGTGCAGAAGCGGGGAGGGGGAGGGAAGGGCCGGGGTGGGGTGGTATACTGAGCCCAGCCTGGCTAGTTCCAGGTGAGTGCCAAGTGACGGTGGCAGTTTAGTCTCTGATGCTCACATGGGGCCAGGACAGCCTGGGCATGAGGCAAGGCTCTGATATAGTGTGGGGGGTGAGCTGGTGACCCATGTGGCCCAGGCCCTGGCGATGCCGGCTGTGCCCCTGCCACGAGTCCCAGTGGCCCGGGCTGTGCTGCGTGTCCTGTCTGTCCGGTGAGCCATCTCTGTTCACTCCTGCTGTCTCACGTAGCGGCTTCCTGTGAGGTTCAGCTCCTGGCCGGCTCTCAGAGGCTCTGGGGCCCACTGTCAGATTGGCAGGCGTCCCCTCCGCTGTGCCACGCGATGCAACAGGCCTGTTCCCTCAGGGCCTGAGCTATGGCTGTTGCATTTGTTGTTCCCCTGAGGTCCAGGCCCGACCACCCTGGGCACAGGAACTGAGCTGTGGTTTACATACTTAGGTTTACGGAGCATCTATATGCCAGGCGGGGCCTGGGGCACACAGCCACTGGGTCTGCCCCGGTCCCTGCTCTAAGGAAGGGCCAGGAAACTCTATACCTGACCTCTCCCGGTCCCAGCCCTGAGTACCTACAGGAGCCCTAGACTTTTCTCCAGGAAAATGCGCGTGGGCATGGCAGTTGGCATGCCATCTCCAGCACTCCCCCCAGTGACGGAGGGCGGGGTGGGGGTGAAGGTAGGTCAGGGCTGGCTTCCTGGGAGGCATTTTTGTGCAAGCCCAATCTTAACGGCTGAGGGGGAAGGGGAAGACCAAGGCTTGGAGATGCGGCCCGCCCTGTTGTCCTGCCTGCAGTGAGAATGTGGGCGGGAAGGCCAAGGGGAGTGAGCTGTCAGGGAGCCTTGGTTGCTCTGGGGAGACCCCCACCCCAGTTTGCAATGGGGCAGACGAGTCAGGACACTGGTTTTGGAGACCAGAGGCCCTGGGATGTGGCAGAGAGAGGTGGAGATGAGGCCCAGCCCCGGGGGACATCGGTGAGGCTGAGATGGTTGAACCAGAGTCAGAGGGCGGGCAGGGTGTCAGTGGGGTCAGAGATGGCTGGGGTGGACTAGCAGCCAGAAGGCCTGAAGGTTTGGGGGCTCCTGCGTGAGGGAGAGTGTATGGGCTGGAGGGGGACAGGCCGGGGCAGACCTGGGAACCAGGCCGGGGCGTGTGACCAGCTTTGGGGTGAAGAGGGGAGTGAATATGGGGTGGGAGGGGCCTCGGGCAGTGCAGGCTGGCGGGACCCTGACAAAGGCCTGGCCCCGGGGTGAAGGGGAGATGCTGGCTGGGAGGAAAACAGGTCTCGGAGGGACTCTGGCCACGTTCTTCTGGGGAACGCCCTCCCTTTCTGCCAGGAGGTGGCTTTGAGGACCTGAGAGTTCACAGGCCTTCCCCTGAAGGCGAGGCCATTCTGGGAGCATGGCCTGAGAGGTGCAGCTCTCCTCCCCTCCTGCCTTCAGCTGGCTGTAGAGAACGTTCTGGAAGGACACTTCCTGCCTGCCCAGTAACCTTTGTCTTCTTTGTTTTCCTCCACAGGAAGCGAGGGATAGAAGTGGTGCAGGTGAGTACGGGCCCTGCCTCCCCCTCCTTTCACGCTGGGCCTCTCAGGCTCGCCTTCTTCCCTCCTGGGGTCTGGGCACACCCGGCCTTGAACCTCTCCCCGCCAGCCTCTGTGACTGCCTCCTGGGCGGGGCTTGGGTTGGGCTGCTGGCCTGTCGGGTTCCTGGAGTTGCTGTGGCTTTGTCCGCAGATGGAGCTGGCCGGGGGAAGAGATGAGGCTCTTGGGGGAAAGGGTGGGCAGGGTGGGGGGGGCATTGCCACCCAGCCAGATGTCCGTGGTCCTGATGCTCCCAGTTTGTCTGTGCCTGTCCTCAGGCTCTGCTGAGGAAGCACGAGGCTCCCCACCCCCCCCCTTTGCCTGGGTGGTTTGGTGCTGGGGGTGAGTCCTCTCCGATATCCGTCCTTCCTGTGCATGGCGTCATCTTCCAAGACCACTCCTGTCCCCCCACTCCCAAGTCAGTGTGTGTACCTTCCCCCTGGCACCCTTTTCTGCTGTCGGGCTATACCTGACCTTCCCATGGACCCCTGGCTCCTGGGTGGACTGAATTGGTGTGGGGCTGACCCCTGACCCCATGTTGCCTCTCCCTAGGGTGGACTGGGGTTAGGTGTGCATTGGCTGGAGGCAGAAGGAAGGATGGACAGAGAGAAGCTTGCCCAGGGCCTGGAGCTAAGGCTGTGGCCCACAGACAAGTGTATCAGCCCGCCCTGAGGGTGGTGGGTGAAGTGGGGGGAACTGTCTGGCAGCCTTGGCTTCCCTTTTCTGCAGCCTGTGGGTTGAACTCGTCACCCCCGGAGGCTGAGGTTTGTTTTGGGGGAAGAGGCAATTTCTGGAAGCCTCCTCATGGCTCTAGCATTTTCCTCCAGGCTCTTGTCTCTTGAGGCAGTGCTTGGTCTGCTCTGAGTTTTTCTGTGGCCCTTACTTTCTCTGTACATCAAAAGGGGGAAGTGAGCATTCAGGGATGGCTAAGAAGTTTGCCTTCAGGGCATGTCTGATTGATTGACTAAGGGTGCCTGCGGGATCCTAAATCTAACTGGCTGAAGGGAGGGGTTGATTGACAGTGCCTTTGGGGGCGGGGTCCTGCAGTGGGCAGAGGATAGGGGGGGCTAAAAGGGGGGGGTAAGTTTGCCATTCTGGGCCAGGTGCCTCAGCTCCTTCCTGCTCCAGGATGCTTCGGCTAGTTTTTGCCTCTTGGTCCTCTCCGACCGACCGTTACCTGGTAGCACCTGGTTCCCTTGCAGATGGCTGTACCACCACCCAGGCCTGGACCCGTAGTTGGAGCTTAGTTTGCGAAGGATAAGGTGGCGGGACAGTCCCGATTTTTTGTCCCATGTCCCGTGGCGTTTTTAAAAAGTTCTGATTTTTCGGGAACTTTTTAAAACGCCGCGGGATGCGGGACAAATTGTTAAACATCGGATGTCTGGTCACCTTAGCGAAGGACCAAGTGCCTCCCTGAGGTTAGCTCCTCGGGGTCCACTCGGAAATTCCCGTGGGGAGGTGTTTGTAGAGGAAGTGACGTTATGTGCCCACCAGCAGTCACGCTGCCTGGAAGGAATGTGCATGTCCTCCAACACCTGACTCCTGCTCATGCAGGTGCCACGTGGGACACGGGGGAGGCCACCCCCGCCACTGGAGTGGGAGGCCCTGGAACCTCAGGGGGCGAGGGTCAAACCGGGGGTCAGTGTGTTCAATTCACGTGGCCTCCCCGGGAGGATTTAGACTAAAACCTTTAATCCACTTAGCCTGTGGCTGCAACTGGAGACTGGAGCCATTATTTCAGAATTAAGTACCAGGCAGAAAGTTATGAAATCTTTCTGGGCGTATCTGCTTTTCACTTTATCTGTCATGGGGAGGAAGTGGTGGCTGGCGACCAGAATGAAGCCAAACTGGATGCTCTCCACACCGGCATCTAAAAATAAAACCCACCTCCACGCTTCTCTGTTCGCCTCTTCCTGGCGTCCCTGGGTGTTTGGAGAACTTGAAATTTCCAAGACACACAGAAACTCTCATTGCAAAAATGGGAAGGGAATCCATTTAGCTGGTTTTTAAAAACCAGCCAGGCTTCTGTGTGCCAGGTCTCCAGGCTGCGGCTGCTGGAGACGGCTGGCCAGTCACTTAGGCGACCGTGATTGAAGAGGTGCCAGCATTTCCTGCGTCAGGTGCCCTGATGGCTGTTCTCCCGTTTTGTGCAGCCACCTAGTGCTGTGGGTGGAGTTTTCACGTCTGTCTAGAGACGAGGAAACTGAGACTCGGATGTTGGGACTTCTCTTGAGGGACTCAGCTGGTAAGTGGGTTGAGCTGAGAGTAGAATGCAGGTCTGCCTGGCTCCAAGGCCCGCATGCCAATAGGCTGTCTGTCCATTTGCAAAAGGCTTACAGGCCTCTCATTGTCTGGGGATTGGCTACTGTTTAACAAAGGATGTTGGGCCTGAAGTCAGGAATGAAGACAAAACGCTGGTTAGATCTGCAGTGTTTGCCTCTGCCATCGAGTCATTCTCTTCCTGCTGTTAAATGGCAGCAGTAAGAGTGAGGGTTTCCCATTTACTTGGTTCTTGGGGGTTCTGGGCATGGACAGCATTTACTTTGAACAAGCATGTGTGTGTAACCTCTCCAGGGCGGCAGTGATAGCACATTTAAGAAGTCCATTTTGCAGCTTCTCGGCTCCCTCATGCTCATTCCTGCAGCCGACCCGCTGGGGAAGGAGCTTGCAAACTGTCCTTCTGCCCACCCCTTTGCATCAGCCTCCCTCCTTCCCTCCCACTTCCACGGAGGCAGAGCACCGAGTGGGAGCAAGACCAAGTGTCTTGGTTCATGGTTCAGGCTGTGAGACCTCAGGCCTGTAGTCTAACTGCTCGGGTCTCAGTTGGCCCATCTGTTAGATGGAATAATAATGGTACCTGTCTCCTGGGAACGTTGTTAGTTCTGGTGTGCAGTTAATTTGGGTAAAGCAGGAGGTACAGAACCTGGCCCGAGGGAATCTGGTTATCTGCAGCAGAACCGCACCCTCCTTATCCGCACCCTCATTATCAGATGTGAATCTGGTGTGTGACTGCACCCTCCTTATCACGCACCCTCATTATCAGATATGAATCTGGTGTGTGACGGGATAGGGGGGTAGGAGGAGGGTGTGTCATGAGGGATTTTGTGATCCTGGGGCCAGTGAGGGACTTCCTTTCTTTGCTTGCAGTGAAACTGAAAGAGGACTTGATTGAGTTGTCAGCTGATATAACATTAACAACGATTTTTGAGAATAAGTTACTGTAATTCTTAGCATATAATTCTGAAGGAATTCAGAGAATGTGCTGTGGTAAATCTCTTTCCATTTCATCTTATTTATTTGAATGAGTGGTCTCAACACTTACAGCTATACAAATTGAAAAATGGAGATAGAATTGATAATAAACTCAGCGATAGGTATTAGGCATTCTGTGGATACAGGAAGCAGTTAAATTTCCACTCATCTCTTTTGAAATGTATTTCTAACAGTGTTTTAATTTTTTGTGCTTATTGTTCATACAAATTTGTAATATATTTCTGTGGTATTAGTTATGTACTAGTAGTAATCTTTTTTAAAAAATATATATTTTATTGATTTTTTACAGAGAGGAGGAGAGAGGGATAGAGAGCTAGAAATGTTGATGAGAGAGAAACATCGACCAGCTGCCTCTTGCACACCTCCTACCGGGGATGTGTCCGCAACCAATGTACATGCCCCCAACCGGAATGGAACCTGGGACCTTTCAGTCCGCAGACCACTGAGCCAAACCGGTTTCGGCACTAGTAGTAATCTTACCCAGTAATGGACAAACATGTAAATTGACCATACCTCCACTACACTCACCAGCCAATCAAGAGTGATATGCAAATTAACCCAACAAAGATGGCAGTTAATTTGCATATACAGATAGGTGCTGAGTGCCCAGGGCAGATGGGATGCTTGAGTCATTGCCATTGTGATGATGCAGGTGTTCCACCCCCAACCCCAGTCTCTTAGGGTCTCTGGGCAGCATGGGAAGAGGCAGCTCCAGGGTGGGGCCGGAGTGGAAAGAGGCAGCTCCAGGGTGGGGCCGGAGCCGAAAAGTGGTGCCGGCAGCCAGGGAAAGGAAGGCCCATTCTAGCACAAACCTTCGTGCATCAGGCTTCCAGTCCTATATAATAAAAAACTAATATGCAAATCGAATGGCGGAATGACAGGTTGCTATGATGTGCACTGACCAGGCGCTGCCCCCTAGTGGTCAGTGCACCAGAAGCCAGGCTCACGGCTGGCGAGCCAAGCTGCTGTTTCTCTGGTAGAGCCTCTCCTGCCTTCCTGGTAGCACTAGGCCGTCAGTCGGACATCCCCCAAAGGGTCCCCGATTGGAGACGGTGCAGGCTGCGCTGAGGGAAACCCCCCCCCCCCCCCCCGTGCACGAATTTCATGCACCAGGCCACTAGTCCTCAATAAAGACCTTCAAACATAAAACACACTGAGAATGGAAATATCTGAGGGATGTGGATTGGAAAGTTGGAGGAGGCAAAGGGAACATTGCCAACTTCCCAGGTGTTTAAGAATCTGATTCTGTAATTTTAAGATGGATGGTGGTTGCTCTCAAATCGCTATGATATTTAGATTCCATTGGATCCATTTAAAAGAGAAACAGTAACAGTTTTATTTTGAAATGTTAATATTTACAATATGTTGGAAATTACATCCTCTACAAGTATTTAAACTTATGATGAGAAATTTTAGATGTCAACTTGAAAATGTGCAAATAGAAACATAGTTTTAAACATTTATTTTGGGGGTTTGGTTTGAAGGCCGCTGCTTTCCAACATTATTCCGTTTACTTTTACTTCTTAAAAAAATCAGGCCCTTCAGCAGGTACCACTGCAGAGAGAGATGGTGCCCAGCTCTCAGGCCATCATGCAGAGGCCCGGCCAGGCTGGACCACTCAGACTCCGGGGCCTCTGTGTCTACTGAGCATCAGAAAGGCCTCTGCAGTGGGCTTGTCTGCCAGCCGCTTG